TAAATATAAATACATTTTAAGGAAAAAAACAAAACCAAACAAATATCACCAAAAACAGTTGTTGCAATTCTGGGGACTGAACACAAAACCTTGCACATGGTAAGCAAGCCAAGAGCTCTAATATGGAGCTATATCCCCTGCGTAAGAGCTAAACTTTCAAGTTCCTGCTGCACAGCAAGTAAGTTGCCTCTGGAGTGATGGGATTACAGACATGCTACCACACCTGACTCATAGTTTCATAATCTAAGCACTTACCTTAAAATAGTAATCAGTAAAATAAAAGAGAGAAAGATCAGTTCAACTGTATACAGATCAGTGGGAAAAACAAAACAGAGTAATAAGTAGATAAAAATCAAATCAAATGCTCAAAATAATCTTCACAATGCTTTCTAAGATTTTCTCTCCATCAATTATGACAAAAAAATTTTGCCTGAGTCTTTTTTTTCGTTTTGTTTTTATTTTTTAAATTTATTTTAATTTTCTGTGAATGAGTATATTATTGCTCGCATACATGTAAGGGCACCCACATTGTGCAATGCCTGAGGAGGGCAGAAGAGGGTGTCGGATTCCCTGGAAGTGGAGTTATAGACAGTTGTTAACTGCCATGTGGATGCTGGGAACAGAACCTGGATCCTCTCCAAGAGGATCTTAACCACTAGCCATCTCTCCAGCCCCTGTTTTTTTTGAAACAGGGTCTCCCTGCAGCTTCAGTTGGTTGGCAACTATGTAGATCTGCCTCTGCCTGGGATTAAAGGTGTGCACCATCATGCCCAGCATAAATCTGTTTTTGTCTTTTTGTTGGTTGTCTTTCAAGTCACAGCTGACCTGGAAGTCATGATGTGAACCAGGGTAGCCTCGATCTCGCAGAGATCCACCGGTTTCTGCCTCCTGTGGGCTGAGATTAAAGGCGCACACCACCACACTGGGCATAAATCTGTTTTTATACCCACAAATCTCTCCCCCATATTAACAATTTTAAGTTGAATGTTAATATGTAGAAACCTTACCATAGAGAAAGGATCCTGTTCAATGAATTCTAATAGAATGGCTGTCTAATGGGGAAGAACATCTGCATTTAAACCAGCATATAATCATCCTTAATTCAGGAACAAAAAAACTATGAGATTATTTTGTCTTGTTCTCTTTCTCTCTCCCTCTGCCTCTCTCTTTTTTGGAGATAGAGTCTCATGTATCCTAGGTTGGCCTCAAACCTGCTATGTAGCTGAGGATGACATTCAACTCCTGCTTCTCCTGTTTCCACCTGGATTACAGGCTTGGGCCACAGTGCACAGATACTTTTTTTTTTTTTTTTTTTTTGTAGGTATGTATTCTTCCTAACAGTGGTCGAAACTGACATTCATATGGACCTTAAGATATAGGCAGTAAGTTTAATAACCTATAAAAGTCATGAATGGGCCAGGCGTGGTAGCACATGCTTTTAGCCCCAGTATTTGGGAGGCAGAGGCAGGTGGATCTGTGAGTTTGAGACCACCCTGGTCTACATAGCGAGTTCCAGGCCAACTGGGACTACAGGGAGACCCTGTCTCAAAAAAAAAAAAGTCATGAATGGATTGTCCAGCTAAAAGTTCAAAGATCCTCTTAAACATCAATAAACTAAAAAAATTTTTACATTTACTCATTCACTTATTTTGTGTGTATATATATGGGGGTGCACTATGGTGCACATGTGAAGGTTAGAAGACAACGTGTAGGAGTCAGTTCTTTTCTTCCATGATGAGGATTCTTGTGATCAAACTCAGGTCATCATGCAAGAGCCTTTACTTGCTGAGTCATGTTAAAATTTTTGTTCTTGTTGTTTAGCTGGGTGCAGTGGCATGCACCTTTAATCTCAGCACTCAGGAGGCAGAGGCAGGCAGATTTCTGTGAGTTTGAGGCCAGTCTGGTCTACATAGTGAGTTCCAGGTCAGCTGGGGCTACAGGGAAACCCTGTCTCAAAAGAATTTTTTTTTTTTTTAATAAGTATGAAAAGGGGCTGGAGAGAGGGCTCAGCAACTGGTTACTCTTGCAGAGGACCCAGGTTTGGTTCTCAGAACCCACATGGTGTCTAACAACTGTTAGTAACTCCAGTTCCAAGGGATATGACACCTCCTTCTGGCCTCTTCGGGCACAGCACGACATGAGCGTACTTAGTCACACATGCAGGCAAAACATATATACATAAAACAAAACAATAAAAGATGTGAAAAGATCAAATTAGCTTTTTTTTTTTTTTTTTTGAGACAGGGTCTTGTGTAACCCAGGCTGGCCTTAGACTCATTATGTAGCTGATGATGACCTTGAACTTCTGATCTTCCTCTGTCAGAATTACTAGGTAAGTTCTGGTATTAGTCTCATGTGCCACCATTCTGAGTTTATGCAGTGCTAGGATTTGAACACAAAGCTTCGTGCATACTACCAACTGAACTGAATCTCCAGTTAATTAGAATTCTCCTACCAACTTAAAGCTAGGAGTAGTGAGGCTCACCTGCAATTCCAGCACATGGTAGGTAGAGGCAAGAGGAAAGCAACTCTGGGCTATATTGCCAGCCTAGGCTAAATGAGACTCTGTCTCAAAAACGAAAGATAAACAGGCAAACATTTCTTACATTAATTAAAAGAATCCAAGAGTATGTTTATGCATGTGGGATAAAAAGTTGAAAGATACCTGGTGAACATAGAGTACTGAAAGCTAAAGCATATTAGAAGGATAAAAGCTAAAGGATCTAACTGTAATGACAAGTACGGTACTGTCATTTAGTTCCTACCTTACCTCTTACTTAAGAGTACAACTATATAATAAAATAATCTGATTGTACTGCTCTTAGCAATAATGTAATATGAATAAAACTTTCAAAGAGGTTGAACTAGTCTGTTAAATGCAAAGTAAAATAACTCATAAATGGAGATTCGCTAATCAGATATGACAAGAGATCTTGGATTTGCTTTTTGACATTGTAGACAGAACTGTAACAAAAAGAAAAGCAACCCAATTAAATAGGCAAAAGATCTCAGTAAACATTTCTCTAAAGATATGTAGATAGCCAGCCAGTAAATAGAAAGGTAGTCAGCAAGTGAAAACCACGTAATACTCCTTCATAAATATAATAAATAAGAATAAAGAATAGCTGGGCGTGGTGGCACATGCCTTTAGTCCCAGCACTCGGGAGGCAGAGGTAAGCAGATCTCTATGAGTTTGAGGTCAGCCTGGTCTATAGAGAGAGTTCTAGGCAGCTGGGTCTATGGGGCCTGTCTCAGAGACCTAAAAAAAAAAACCCAAACAAAACCAAACCAAACAAGAAATGAAGTGTGATACAATTTATAACAATAAACCCTGGAAACATGCAAAGTAAAAGAAATCAGATCCAAGGCAGCCAGCAGCTACTCTGTACGTCTATTTCCTATGATGTGTCCAGAATAGATAAGGTCATAAAATTAGTGACTGCCTATCACTAGGTGAGGAAAACTTGATTATTACTACCAATAGATTAGGGTCTCCCTCTCTTCCCTCTCTCCCTACTCCCACCCCCACAGTCTTGCTATGTAGCCCTGGCTGACTAGAACTTGCTATTTAGACCAAGGCAGCCTCACACTTTCATTAATCTCAGCTCTGCTGCACTACAGGTTGCGCCATCACGCCTCGTAGCTTTCTTTTAAAGAGTGATGATAATCCCTTCTAAAACTGACTGTGGGGGCTAGAGAGATGGTTCAGTTTTAGGGTATTCTTTTCATGGGTTTAGTAACTCTAGCTTTATTCCTATTTTATATTTTGATATTCTTTGGAGTGAGGCTATCTGAATTAGTTTTGATGGATGATTTATGTATGATGTGCTTGCCAGAGCTGGCCAACTTTATCTGGTTATTTTCCCTCAATTTCTATTAAATGGAGGTAAAAAAACGCATCCTTTCATCTAATTCAGAACTCCTACAGCACTCGTCTTTCTACTACATTCCAGTTACAAAACAACTTCACTCTAAGCATACCATGCCATTTCATGACACACCTCTGTTGTGTCCTGATGTAGATAGAGCTAAATAAGGGACCTTAAAATAGATTTTGTTCACCAGGCGTGGTGGTGCACGCCTTTAATCCCAGCACTTGGGAAGTAGAGGCAGGCGGATCCCTGTGAGCTCAAGACCAGCCTGGTCTATATAGTGAGTTCCAGGACAGCTGGGGCTACAGGGAGACCCTGTCTCAAAAAGACCAAAAAGGAAACAAAAACAAACAACAGAAAAAAAAAAGAAGTTATGTTACACATAATTCTTACCTTGCTTTCTCTTTCCAATTCACTCCGCAGCCATTCAAAGTCACTGTATCTTCTTCTTACAGTAGATTCTTTCAGCTTGAAGATGGGAAGATTTGTCTGAAACCAAAAAAGTCACTGCTAAGTGGAAGCATGTTAAAGGGTCAGAGAGGGACGGGGTAGATATCTGTTAAACTGATAACAGGACAAACTGATTACCTTAAGAAAACCATGAAGTTATGAAGCATACTCCCACTGAGCTAAATGTTCCCAAGCTCTTCTTTTACTTTCTATTTTGAGACAGGGTCTCACTAAGTTGCCTAGGATAGCTTTGAATTCACTGTATGGCCAGAGTAAGCCTTGAACTTGCTATCTTCCTGCCTCAACCTCTTGAGTAACTGGGACTATAAACCTTGGGTACTAGGCCCAGCAGAGAATATTTTTTCTTTTTGCAATGTAGGGGATTGAACTGAGGGCTTTGCACATGATGGGCAAGTTTTCCATTACTGAGTCAAACCTCCAAGGAATACAACTTTCCTTTTTGAAATTTATTTTGTGTGTGTGGATGAGAGCACAGGTATGTATGTGAGCACATTTTGAGACTTAGTTCTTTCCTTTACCATGTTTTGAGATAGGATCTCTCTTGTTTCTGCTACCAAGCTGTGTACTTCCAGCCATCTGCCCTGCAAGCTTCTGGGTGATGCTCCTGGTCCACCTGCCATCTTGCCATAGAAGTGCTGGGATAGCAGAAGCCCACAATCACACCTGGCTTTTCACACTGGGTTCTGAGCAGGCTTTTTACTGCTGAGCCATCATCTTCCCAGACTTAAAATATTATGCTTAACTGACGTCTAAAAAATGCCCTCTCCCCAAAGCAGGGAAATGCTGCAGTTTCTGTAATCACCACTAACAGAAAATTAAGAGCCAAAACCAACCAACCAACCAACCAACCAAACAAACAAACAAAAAAACCAAACCAAACCAAACCAAACCAAACCCAAAAAGGCAATTAAGGGGGCTGGAGAGATGGTTAAGCAGTTAGGAGCAGTTACTGTTCTTGCAGAGGAACCATGTTCAGTTACCACACCTACAGTAGGCAGCTTACAACCTTCTCTAAGTCTAGCCTGAGGAATCTCATGCCCTTTCCTGGCCTCCGGGGGAACTACACTCATGTGCACATACCCAGACACAAACACATACACATTATTCAAAAATAAACAAATTTTAAGCCGGGCATGGTGGTGCACACCTTTAATCCCAGCACTTGGGAGGCAGAGACAGGTGGATCTTTGTGAGTTCAAGGCCAGCCTGGTCTACAGTGAGTTCAGGTCAGCTGGGACTACAGGGAGACCCTGTCCCCAAAAGACAAATAAATAAATAAATATTAACAAAAAGCTATTAAGGACTGAGTTTGTAGTTCAGTGTAGAATATGCTCTTAGCTCATGTTAGGCTTAAATTAATTTAGAGTCAGTAGACCAGGCTTATAGACCCATCCAGTGCTTTACAGGCAGAAGAGAATGTTTAAGAACTAAAAACATGATACCTAGGTACTTTGAGGTTAGCCATAATGTAACATAATTTTTGGTGACTTTTGGGGCAAATTTTGTCCTTTATAAAGTTGCAAAGGCTATTTATTGCTCTTTCTGACTACTTAAAAAAAAAAGTAGCAAGAGGGCCATGATAGTGATGGCAGATAAAGGAACTTGCCGCCAAGCCTGATTTGACCTTAATTCAATCCCCAGAACCCATGTGGCCAAGAGAACCAATTCTGGCAAGTTGTCCTTAACCTTTACACACATGATATGGTGGGCACACACAAATCCAGGCTAGCTGGAGCTACAGGGAGATCCCATCTCAAAAAAACTAAAACAGCGAACAAACAAAAACAAGATTCTCCTTTAGCTAGGTGTGGTGGCACACCTCTCTAATTCTAGCCCTTGGGAGAGACAGGTGGATCTCTATGAGATCAAGGCCAGCTGGGGCTACAAGGAGATCTTGTCTAAAAAACAGACCAAAAAAGGGAGGTGGGGGTAGGGAGAAGACTGAGGCTGAAGCTTAGTGGTTGAATGCTTACTTGGAATGCTGGGGTCCTGGGTTTGATCCTTAGCACAAAAGAAAGATAACAGAAAGCTACTTAATATGAGCCATCTCTCCAGCCTTTAATACTACCTACTCTTAATTTTGTTCTTAATTCAGCATTTTCCTTTTTAGGACTGTATACTGTTTAATAAGGGGGGGAGGGAGGAATGCACCATGTGAAGGAAAGGCTAGTTTCCTACTTTGTAGATCCAGACATCACCTTGTAAAATTCATTGCTAAGAAAATTCCACTCATTTGTTAAACTTAATGCCACTAGTAAATAGCTGTCATTCAGGAGAAGAAAAGTTTTCTATTCAGGCCTAAATCCATTTTGTAGTGGTGTCAATTTTTCCCAAAGTGTATTAACTTCTATGTTGTATACCACAGAGCTTGGATTCCTCTACAGATGCTATTGGGCATAACAGTGTATAGGTTTCAAGCATGAAACCAAATCTCACAAGAGGTTTAAAAGCACTTGAATTTTCTTTCCCAGGTAACCACAACATTTGTTCATTGTATTAATGACTAAGAGCAAAATTGCACCTAACAAGACTCTTATTATACTAAAAGTCAAGCTTGTATTTAGAGATGCTGGCTTGCTATACAGAGGGGTATTCTCATTCCTCAGAATAAAAAAAAAATGAGGTCCCCCGGAGAGCAGGATGGCAATTCACAGAAAGAAAGCAATGGATTATTTCTCTCTAATTTCACCCATTGGCTTTTTAACCAAGTTCACCCTTCCGCATTAAAATATTAAGTCTTTGTAAGTGTCTAAAGATAGAAAGGTCTTTAACAGAGCTGAGTATTTTCTGCAGGTGAGATTTTACATTTTGAATTCCCTCCTCTCAAATTACTTTACAAAAGAGATTAACTGCTCTCTTTATTCAGTATGTTAAGATCAGTCCTGTGAAAAGAGGTCCCTAAGAATTTTCATACTTCTGGGTACGGAAGTCTATAAAGTTAATCTCTGAAACAACATATCAAGCTTACAGGTACAATGTTGAGGGAAGAGCGCCAATTCAGCTCATTTTACCTTCCATTTTCCCTTTTGAACTTTTGACACAATCATGATTATATCTGATTCACTCTGAGTGAAGAATGAGGAGGAAAGTCTCTTCCCTTCTATATTAGCTAGTAGCTTATATATTCTAAAAAGGATTATGGCTAGTTTAAGAAAATTCTTTTTAGTTTTCTCTGGCTATGATTTTCTGAAGGAGGGCCAGTTTGGAGTTTTGACAGTCTAGCAAGAAACTTTGGATGAGGGTATCCAGTGGTAGTAAGAGTGCTTGCTCTGCATGAAAAAGGTGGTCTGTAGCTGGGCGTGCTGGTACACGCCTTTAATCCCAGAATTTGGGAGGCAGAGGCAGGCGGATCTCTATGAGTTCCAGGACAGCTGGGACTACAGGGAGACCCTGTCTCAAAAAGACTGAAAAAAGAAAAAGAAAAAAAGAAAAAGATCTCCTAGTGCTGCAAAAAACAAACCAAGCAGTAATTTAATAGTACTTTCCCATTACATTTAGAATATGGAGTTTGAGTGAATCTGTTAAAAAGTTTTTCCTGATCAAACCAGGTATGCTGGCACGTGTCTATAATCCCAGCACTAGGGAGGTAGAGGCAGGAGGATCAGGAGTTCAAGGTCATCCTCAAAACAGGAACTTTGAAGCCAGTCTATGTTATATCTTAAAGTTTTCCTGACCATTACATGGTCACTTGAGCATCATCAAAATAAACAAGTGTAAAATTGTCATGTTTATGACCCACTGAGCTCTCAGTAGACTTGCCACCTTCAAGTTATTTAATGCTGAGCCTGGCAAAGTAAGGACATTTCATCCCCTCTAGCTTTGGGAAGACATCAAGATATTATTTACTGAGCTTCTGTAAGGAAATAATGCTAGATAAGGAATCATTGAAATGAATAAAATGCTAATCCTTGTCCTAATGAAGCTTATGGAACACCAAGAACAGAAAACAAAACACATAAAAATTTAAAATTGGGGGCTAGAAAGACAGTTGAGTGGTATAACTGTCTGCCGCTCTTCCAGAAGACCTGAAATTGGTTCTCCTGACACCCACTCGGCAGCTCATTTACCTGCAACTCCAGTTCCAGGAGATCTGATGCCCTGTTTTGGCTTCTTTGGATATTTACATGGTACATATAAACTCATGCAGGGACACAAACATACATATAAAAATATTTTTAATTTGAAATTGTGTAGTTAAAAACAGCGCAAACAGCCAGGCGTGGTGGCACACACCCTTAACCCCAGCACTCGGGAGGCAGAGGCAGGCATATCTCTGAGTTCAAGGCCAGCCTGGTCTACATAGTTCCAGGACAGCTGGGGCTACAGGGAGACCCTGTCTCAA